CTCTCTCAGATAGGCAGGCACTGCAAATAAGAGTTATTCATCAGTAATAAATATATCAATGAATCACAAATTTACCTTATTGTTATCATTATTGAACCAATGAAGTGAAGAAAGGTAGGAAGTTATTGTTGGAGCTGCATACATCCACTTTTCAAACTCATTTGGATTCTCAACGTTTATCCATTTTTTCCATTCAACTGAACTGATTTTTCCTTATCAGAAAAGACTTCTTGAGTGCAGGAAATTCATATTAGAGGACATTATAGGTCCTACATTTTTCCATTGGAACTTTCTACTAGTTCAACCAGCAACCAAACAGTTGATTTTGCGTATTATCAGAGATTTGTTGATACTATTTTATAAAATAATATAGAATTGATTAGGCAATTGATATAAAGTTCACGTCTTGTACTCAAGAGAAGCAAGAAGAGAAAATTAACGTAATTTGTTGAATGGTATTCATAAAATATGAAACCCACTGAACACAATAACAAACATGACCTTGAATTACGTCCTAAACTGGTTCCAATTCGCCCACCAGGTGCCGTATCGGAATCGTCACCTTGCCAATAGCCCGTTTTCATTTCACGCATTACATCATGGATTGTGTTTTTGAAGTATTTATGAATGAAATGTTCTGTCGACCTGTGCTGTCTGAATCCTTTCTGAATATGTTGTATTATGAATGAAATTCTCAAGTCTGCAGTCGGCACGCAGAAATATTTACCCGCGAGACTCTCGCACGAGACACGAGAAGTCTTGCACGAGACTCGAGACGAGACCAATGAAAGTCTCGTCTCGTCTTGTCCGAGTCTCGTCTCGAGTCTTGACTCGAAAACGAGACGCGACCATGCGAGACTCTCGAAAATGAGACTCTAGCGGGCACCACTAATTCCAAAACATATTGAGAACACACTTTTCACAATTAGAGCACCACTTAATATCTGTCAAATTGTACCCCCAATAATTGTTTTGTAATTGTTCTTCTTATTCTCATATCATCTTAATATGATTTATACCTTATTGTAACTATATAACCACTCAGAGGATGTCCTGTTTGAATCCCACGATACATAAATAATATTTAATTTGTACACCCGCACCAGCAAAAAACGACCACCAGAGAATTTAGGCCAAATAATTGTTCGCCCTGTAACTTTCCTAATTCATCTCCGATTTTGGTTAAATTTCGACCAAATCGTGAACTTGTGCTTCGGAATGTTAGCCTGAATATAAGTTCCTGAGAAAAGCTGATGTCAGGACAGGGGAAAAAAGTTTTCACTCATCAGAAAATCTGACCAATCACAAGCCAGAGACAACGTGGGCTCATCGAAAAGCGAAAACATGATCTTTCTTCCAATTCTGATTGATCTGACAGCGTTAATGTTTTCAACGATGTAACCATGGATAGCAAATCAAAGCCTGCATGGATGTAACCATGGAGAGCGAAGCAAAGTCTGCCAGTTTGGCATAAAAGAATTATGGCTGTACTTGTCAGAATGAATCACTCATTTATAATAAATGCTTTTTATGCGTCGTGAACGTGAAATAGTCTAGCAAAATACCACCCAGCCTGAATATCTTCTCATTTCATTGTTCACTCAATTGTGTTTCCGTACAGCAATGAGTGAAATATTCAGGCTAACATTCCGGAACATGAATCTACGATTTCATCCAAATTTCACGTTACAGGATGAACAATTTGGGCAAATTGTTTGTGGCCGCTTTTTTGCCAGTGAGTAAGTAGAATATTCTTTGAAGTATCACGTAGGAGTTGGTAATCGAGGAAAGAACTAATGATTGTTTGTATAGAGGAAGGTTGCCTCAATCAGATAACTTGGTGAGGCGAATGTATATGTATATAATTCTAGAATGCAAATCTACTTGTAAACAGTTATCGAATTCAGATTTTCATGAATTCGAAGTGAAATCTCCGATAGAATGTAACAGTTTTTATTTGTCCACCCTGGAACCATCAGTCGATGACAAAAAGATATTGATAGCGCGCTGTGTTCGAGGCCGGAGGCAGACAATTCGTCATTCCATGTTAGAATAGTGGTGAACGTGTTAGCGTTATTTTTACAGTCATAATATTGAAATTGTTGACATTTTGCATTTACTTGATAGATAGGAAAATCAGGTGTTACCAGAGATTATTCTTGGTGTTGTTGTGTTGTAAGGTGTCGGGAAGAATTTGAATTGGAATAGAAAATTGTGTGGAATAAGGTTAGTACTGTTAGTACCTATAGCATTATAATACTGAGGGTTATGGTGTGATAGAAACAACTAGGTAATTATCAATAGAGTGATGTTGATGCACATATCTGAGAGATGTTGCCTTGATATGTTGCGAAGGGATTTGGTCCTTTTATTTCAATGGTAGGTATGTGGATTCCGCTGCTTTGAGTCTGAGAGGTAATGCTTTGATCTGCGAATGGGAAAAATGTATGTATATAGGTAACTGTGCAGAATTTTTTTGCAATATTTGATATTTGAGAGGTGTTTCCTTGATATATGCGTGGGATAGCATTGTACGACTGTAGAGGCTGCACACGTGAATGTCAGAACAGGAAGATAACTAAGTATTCGTACCTGTACGGTTGACTATCATTCATAATAATTATTATAAACCTTTTTGTACCCGTACTGATGTTATATAACATAATCTATAAGAATGATTGTTGTGGGTGCTATTGATCCCTTATTCTGCATATCACTTTGGTTGTTTCTCGGGTTGTTTATTATATAGATGCCCGATTAGTTTTACCAGACTCGCGCAGTACGGAATGATCTATTGAATTGCATTTGATATCTTAATTTACTGTTGTTATTGTTATTGTTATTCATCGTTATTGTGAGGCCGCCCCTGGCCAAAATCAATTCATAAATGTTCTTTCACGTCTTTGTAAATTGAATGTTTGTATGAAATCAAACTCGTATTTCATACAAAAAAAGATAATTTCACAAGAATAGCATCATAAAACTTTTTTCTGCAATCGGCTCAAAAGTCGTCCACTTATGTTCCAAATTCGCTGTTGAAGTTGACGTTTCCCTTACTGACACAATAAAATGATCAGTATGCATGTTGCTAGGAAGCACTTTTAGTGTCTAGGAGCTAAAGTTGAAGTTTAACTCCTAGGAGCTTAAAACGTGTCGGATGACAGCTGATATGATAGCTGCTTTGACACCGGCATGCTCAAGTGACTCAAACTTATGGCATAGTCCACCAATATTCTCATGGACGATGCTTATTGTATTTTCACTTATATTATATTAATTGGATATCAATTATCTCGATTGCAGATTGAATGGCATGTTTCATTCGGATCAAAAGGGACTCTGTTTGACTCGCAAATATCGCCTAAAATGCCCCGAAGGGTGTATGAATAGATTGTTTAAACAATCATATACCTTGCGAGTAAGTCGAATATAGTTGTCTACGTTCATATAATTACAGTAAACAGTAAGACAAAAATGCCACAATTCTGCAGAATATCACAGCACCTGAAATTCTCACAGTTGTTTAATGTCCCACCGACAGATGGTGAGAAACATAAAATATCAAGACTAAGTGATTCTAGGGAAATTTCGTGAATCGATTATCAGAAGGTGCTATAGACAGACTGTTCCAGCTTTTCCAAGCCTCATTAGTTACACTAGGCCAGGTGACAATCGATTCACGAAGTAAAAAAATCAAAAAAGTGTCACATTTGATCCTAAAAGAACAATGTTTACTAAACGTTTTCTTCTCAATGTCTACATACACCACTATCCCTCCTGTCTGAATATCCAAGAACCCTGTGAATGAGAAAACTTTGCTAACACTTCTCTAAAAGTCTTGAAGTATATCGAGGGAAGAGGTGCTCTACAACCACAATCACAATTCCTACTCACTGATGGAACCATCGAAGGAGTCTAAATAAATTAAATTACAACGAATATTTCCATCATATACAGGGTAACTCACGGTCCATGGTACGTTAGACGTTTACGGAGAACGGGACAAAGTATCATTCTGAAATTCTGGTTACTCACGTAGTTGCTCTTGGTCTATCGATCTAAAATATTTTCAGCTCTGCGGCGTTGCCGCTTCTATCGAAAAGTAGCAACAACTTTGTTATTTTAAATGGAATTCTCTGTATTTTATTGCATTTTCAGATTCTTTCTGGAAAGCTGATTTCATCGATGTATCACACTTGGGGTCTATCGGAAATGATTACAGAGATATAAGGTGTGAAAAATCGACATCTTTCAACTTTTAGGAATTTTTTTGTCGAAACTATTCATTATTGGTCAAAAGGCTCACATGTCCCTATCCCAACTTTTGATGAACTATCTACTGATATTTAATTGGGATATATACCGGGTGATCAAGATTCTGAATTCTGCACCACCCTGTATTTGTTTCAATTAAATGTCAGTAGATAGTTGATCAAAAGTTGAGATATGGACATGTAAGACGTTTTGACCAATAATGGATAGTTTCGACAAAAAAAAATTCCCAAAGTTGAAAAATGTCGATTTTTCACAGCCTATATCTCTGTAATTATTTCCGCTAGACCCCAAGTGTGATATATCGATGAAATCAGCTCTTCAGAGAAAATCTGAAAATGCAATAAAATACAGGGTGTTCCATTTAAAATAACAAAGTTGTTGCTACTTTTCGATAGAAGCGGCAACGCCGCAGAGCTGAAGATATTTTAGATCGATAGACCAAGAGCAACTACGTGAGTAACCAAAATTTCAGAATGATCCTTCGTCCCGTTCTCCGTAAACGTCTAACGTACCATCGACCGTGAGTTACCCTGTATATCGGTAATTGCCTGCAGAGCGAAGATTGCACTGCGAAGAGATCCCGTCGCCATAATAACACATTTATGGAACCATGTCGCTAGACGCCAGTAAAGAAAACAAATAAATGTCAGATGGACTTCAAAAAAAATTATCGGTAATTTTTATGGACTCGTGCAATTGTAACCGATAAAATTTCGATGTCTTACCATATTCGCAAATAGGCCACAGCAAGCAGGTACAGCTAATACATTGAATACTGCAGATCCAACAATTGTGCCTACACCTAAGTCTCCTTCGGTAACGAAGGTGCCAACACAGTTAATAAATAATTCAGGACTAGAGCTAGCGATTGCCATAAAGGTGGCACCAGCTATGTCTTCCTTCATACTGAGATCTGGAAAAAGAGATATTGATAAATTATTTCCAGGTCGTGGTAATTGTTAAAGTATTCATTAATGTCCTTTCAAACTTTAGTGGAGGCACTGAAATTAAGTGAATCGGTTTTCCTGGAAAACGTTTAGGTTCATCGATGTCGAATCGTAGTACTTTGTAGTACCTTTTTGGTACAGAAATTTTGAGGGCATTCATTGGATGTCTCAAAAATGTACTCTTGACAAGTTTGAGATAAAAAAGTAGTAGGTCTGGTCCGTCTCTGCTTTCTTGGAGTAGTTCGATCAATATCAGCAAGTTAATCTCATTTTATATACTAACCATAGGAGAGTTCGCTGACACTCTATGACCACGAATGATTACAGCCAAATATCTTCAAATGGGCCGGTTTATCAATTATTACCCATCCGCTAGTTAGTTATTCGTCAGATAAAATTACAGTTTAGTGTTTCTTCAATTTCTTTTCCACTAGTTGATCAACTGACAGACAAGTAAGGAATGTTGGAGATAGTGATAAATAGATGTAATTGATCTGATTGGTGGTTGTTTTTACATGATTTAAAACGACCAATGGGAATTCCCTATACCCTAACAGTGAAATTTTAGCCTTGCTGCTCTTTTTGTATAAGATTATTTTTGATTTTTAGACTTATATGGATTTTGTGGAAAATTATATGTTGAATGACTTGAATGGCAATGAGGATATAGATATCGTGAAAATTCGTGAACAGGAAGGAAGGCTTTATGCAGTAAGGAAATTAATGGATATTTGCGAAAATGGGATGACCATGACTTCAATTGAAAATTCAGGATACAAAAAGAAACTTCATTGTCAATATTAGGAATGATTCTATGCATTCAATAATAGTTATTTATTATACAAGGGAAATGAGTAGTAGATTTTACTCGAGGTTGTATATTGTCTCACGACGCGTAGCGGAGGGATACAAAAAACCGTGAGCTAAAATCTAATATTTTTTCCGTATATTTCTCAATCAATCAATATTGAAAAGATATCACATCATATGGAAGTCAGAGAATTATCGACATGAAAATTGAAGTTTTTAACAGAAATGACACCTGCATTCCAGGCATATTTTTGCAGGCATCTTTATCAATATTTTGAAGTAATCGAATATCTGTCAGTCTAGTTCTGTGATTTAATTTAAAAAATTGCGAATTTAGTAGTAGGTACGTACTTTACGTAACCGCGAGGTCGAATAGAAGATAATATGACTTGCAGTTCTTTCTCGGAATCGGTGTTATAGGCTCATTTTTCGGAACTATAGCACAACAAAAGCCATCAACAGTGTATATATATGTCCGGGGAAAAAGTACTCACTTCTTTCCCGTGGGCAAAATTGATTTTATGAAAAGTGACATTTTATAACCTGTCAACAGGGATGAATTTTTTTTTCGTCACAGAAAAAAATATTTATTTTTTCATCAGGAGTTAAATTGCTCTCTCTTCGATTCATCGATATCCTTTTTCATATTGTTGATACTACTTCAAGAAAGACAATATGCAACACAAAACAGAACATGAATTATGTAGGATTCGGGCAAGCATTTAGGTATATTATGGGCTATCCATCAGTTATCTAACTCATCCGCAAGTTGGAACTAACAGATCCCTAACTATAAGACAGTTTAACTGTTGTTTAAAACTCAATCTGATGTCGTTGAACACACCTTCTTGACTTAACCGGCATCAGTTAAGCATCATCTGACTGTTCATTTTTGCATAGCGTCTGATCTAGCTTTACTCAGTTATGTACAGTGTGATAAGATAGTAGAGAGTTGAAGTGTTGTCATGAACGTTAACGTAAACGTAGAAATTGACAGCTACGCATGCGCATTTTCCAATTCTTCACGTTTGCGTTGTTAGTGGGCTTACGGGTGTACGTTATCTCACGTACCTTCACGTATACCTTGAATATCAACGTACGTTAACCAAACTATACTCGAAATATGCCGATGAGTCAAAGTTATCAAATTTGGGATCCCCAACGAGTTCTGCATCATAGAGTCCTCTCATTTTGACAGGAATAAATGTTCGAATCTAAACACACAACCAAAATTGACCAATACAAACCGAAAACAAAATGTATTATTACGTTATGATGACAGTGACGACTTCAACTCAATTTAACGACAATACGTAATAGTATATTACATAACAAGAGTTGTAAAACGCATATTACGCACGAAGTGGAGAGAGTTACACACGATGCCGCATAGCGGCGAGTGTGTAACTCCACAAGTGCGTAATTGCTTTACAACTCGAGAATTGTACTATACTTTTCCTACGACTACACTATATTTTCTTCCGGATAGTGCAAATATTGTATTAAGGCACAAATAACGAATACCAATATAAAACGTCTCCCGTCACTAAGCCAGCTGCATGGAAAGTTACAAATCACAATTCTTGTGTTTGTTTATTGATACATTGCATACCGAGACATTTTCCCCAATTCGAACTGAAATAGAGCCCTTTTTCATATCTAAACGCTTTATTAATAAGTAGCCAAAAACACATTGTATATATAAAAATATAAAATTAACATTCATAATGGTTATTCATTTGTGACAGTGCAGCACGAGAGATTCTGTATTCGTTTTTAAAAATAATAAAAAAAAGATCTCCAACTGCGCTCCGAACCACCGACCTTTGGGCTCGGAGCCAGCGCTTCTAACAACTGAGCTATCACCATTTCTACGTATAAATAGATATTTTATAAACATAATTTCGAAGATGGATCTTTCTCAATTATTCCTGTTATTTAAAGAAAAAGGAATTCATCAATTCAATGTTGATTATGTATGTTATTTGAAAAATTATCTTCAACAGGAGCATTCTGCAGAAAGTAATTGGTCTGTTCAGCGATTTTTTACTTCTGAATCCGTCCTTTCCTTTTGAGGAAATGGGATATGTTGCTATATTGATATTGTGATTGATATATTTAGTGTTGATCGTAATATGGAATATATCGACCAGAGTGATGATGATTTCATGAAATTTGGTAATTCTTGAAAATATTCTAAAAGGATATTGTCCGAAAATGACACGGTATTATTTCTAATTTTTCAGTCCAGGAATTTTTTATGTGCTATTTCGTATCATTTACAAGACTCAGCGGGTAGCAACTCATTTTTTACCATTCTAGCTTTTTCCAACATTTCTGGTGGTGTAGAAATAATATGCTCATCGTCATCGCTTGACATCATTTTTTTTTAAATGAAATTGAGGATTCTCAATAGAAAATAATAATATTTTCAAAAAATACCTACCCACCTAGCTAGTGACATCAATGAAATTGTTAATTGTTATTGACACATCGCCAAAGCAATAAAACAAAGTGATCTATCAACATACCTATGAAAACCGTGCGATCGCTCTCTTTACGCACACGTGTGTAAGGAGATGCTTACTGCCATTTTTGGGAGAATCTGTATGTGCATGGTCATGAATTTTGAACCACTTCGTTTAATCTACTTATACTTGGTAGTCAGATGATTCGGGACAAATCCCCAACTATGGGTGTAAAAAAATGAGTCAGAAAAATCGCCGTTCATATATTCAACACTTGAATCATTGAACAACCTACAAGTAGATACAAATTGAAAATGAAACTTGCGACAATAGAACATTATACATGAAGGGACATAACTGCAAGATTTTTACCAAGGTGCGATTTGCAGCTCAGGGCGAAGCCCGAGAGATACAAAGCACCGAGGGAAAAATATCGCGTGAGGATCTAATTCATATACCTCATTCTTGTTGTGACCCCAGAGGTAGAAATCCAAGGGGAACAATTATTCTTTTATCAAACTGATCTCGTATACGAAGTTCCTGGCTTGAATGGTGTTGTGAGCCAGACCACGCCAGACATCCATCATATTGAAACCAGGTTCTTTTAAATCAATTTTTGGTTAAACCAGCACAACCTGGTTTCCGAAAAGCTGTAGTGCAGGTTGTAGTCAAACGAAAAAGTCCTTCAAGTCGTTTGAACGTCAAAAGTCAGAGCCACCTCAGATGAGAATAATGTGTTATTTATAAAAACAAGAAAATGGCAAAATTCACAAAGGGTGATATTTCGATAATACTGAAATCTTTCATGTACTTGGTGAAACATCACTATAAGAGTGCATCTGATGGACCGTTTTTCTTTGGCGCATGATCCTGATATACCCGGTATCTAGTGTCTCAATATTTGTCGCCAGCCTTACCTTTTTGTGAATTCAGGATGATTGATCATAGGTATACAATAAATGTTTTGAATAGCACGAGTTTTTGTCCTTTCACCAGCAAGGTTATCATTTTTCAGACAACAATATATGTAATTCTTTATAGTACCTAGCTAATGACAGGTAAATAAGTCACTAATGACGAGTGAATATTGAGTCACTGATGACAAATAAACAAGTCACAAATGGCATGTGATTAGGTCACTAATGACAGGCGAACAAGTCACCGATGACAAATGAATAAGTTACTTATCGCAAATGAATAAGGCACTGATGATAAGTGAATAAGTCACTAACGACAAGTGAACAAGTCACTAATGACAAGTGAATAAGTCACTAATGACAATTGAATAAATCGCTAATAACAAGTTGTTCACTAACGGTTATCAATCTGAAATTCAATGGACCAGGTTAATAGTGGTAAGTGTGCATTTTCAAGAACACCGAGAAGAACACAAACATTCCTGTGGTTATCAACTTGTTTCCTTGTCCCAAATAGTAAACAAGTTTCACTTGCCACTATTGAATATTCACTTAGGGTTAGTGATTCAGTGTTCACTGTAAGTACTTACTATCACAGAATTTTTTAATCGCTGGCACGAAGTAATCGTCGCAAACGATGGCCAGCAGGGTGAAGCAGTAGCATGCCAAAACGACGTGGAGGAAGGCCCACCCTCTCTGCCTCTGCGACCTGGTGAACCCGTCAGGAGGGAACTCGTTGATGGCAGGAGGGGTGCAGTTCCTGGTCGCGTTCTGGTTCTGCTGGTGGTCGTTGAGCGTCAGGAGATGTCTTCCGGTCGATAATGGAATTGGTTCTGGAAAACATATCTCGTTGAAATAGAAATGGAAAAGCAAAGACATATTTTCCAATAAAACATGATGATCAAATCGCGAGAAGAAGATGTGAATAAGTTAGCAATGACTTTCAACAGCACCCCAAAGGAAAGCATGCTGAGCCCTGCAGAAATCCAATAATGGGATGGAAAATTAGAAGAAACTTACCCACCAGTGAACAATCATTATATGGCCAACAGTCTGGTATCCATGACTACAACAAAGAACCAAAAGCCTACGAATAGGTACCTACTCACAAAACAAGTACATTTCGAAAATCTCTCGTTTACAATTGCATCATTTTCTATAATGCTCTACCAGATGAGATCAAATCAAAACCTACCTACAGTTCATTTAAGAATGGCGTGAAAACATTTTTCCAACAAAACTCTTTATTCTGTGGTTGAATTTCTTAGTAATAGCCAAACAGCAGGTGTATAATTCCAATCAATGATAATTTTAATCAAAAATAGTTCTCCACACTTCTAATATATATTTTTTATTTCAATGAAGTATTTGTGTATTCAACAATTGTTCCTATTTTGTGACTTACCTTTTGTACTTTGTATGTTAATCAAGGTGAATAAATTTCTATTCTATTCTATCCCGAAGATACCGTACCCCCTATGGCCTATACCTATCGAATCTTCAACAACTCTCATGTATGGTGTTTCTTTCGCCATATGATCAACGCGTATGCCATTTGATAGTATTAAATGGTTAAAAACTAAACTTGAACCGTTTCCCTTTTTCCATTTATTTTTTCATAATTTTGTAGAGGCGAAACAAAATGATATTGTCTCCTTGCAAATTCATGAAGATGGCACGTCAATTTGAATAAAGAGGACACATTTTCTATAATAGCGAAAGCATTTTTACATAATCCATATTCCTTACCTCTGCCAGGAACATCATCCTTCTCGAACAAAACAAATCAGGTTTTTTTTCATTTTCCCAACGTTATATTTGAATATGGTAATGACTCTGCGAGAGTAAATTCTGTGCCCTCTTATGTAAGAGGAATGGAATTCCGATACAAAAGACGGAACATCTCTTAGAAAATTTAGATGATTGTGATAGGAACTATGTTGAATTTGGGTTGATCCTCAAATTCCATTATGTGTTATCGTTATATACATTTGTGGGTCAGAGACAGACAGAAAATATACCTTGAAATGTTGGGAATGTCTAAGTGTATACAGACATAATTATATTCTTTATTACTTTGACATCAAGCATTTTCATTCAAGGAGTAGGTGATTCTAGTACTAAATACTAATGACTGCTATGCATATCTGAACAATTCAACAGTCATTATTATTTCACGTGAAAATTCAAACATCCATGCCTACCTGTCTGAAATTGATAAGAACTATAAAATTAATATGTCTAGGTATCAACAAAGAAATATGTCGAACGACTAATCCACATTATTTGTTTGATTGATCTGCACAATAAATCACTGAAATCAGGGATCACCAGCAAAAACCCTCTGTGTATTTCCATTCGTATTACTGCATAAAATTTAGAACATGCCCGCCTTTATGGAGGAACCACAATAATTTCCACCTAACAGCTCTACTCGAATTCGCATCAGCTGAATAACACTGACACTCAATTTTTTGAGATGCCTAATAACCCCTATGAATCAACTGCCCAATTAACCCCTATAAATTAACTGAACGCCTTGCTCAGTCCCATGAGATCTTGCCAAGGGTTCAAGAAATTAGCTACCGTCGTCAACAATAATAATTGTTCATAAATGATAATTTCCAGAGCTATCGGGATTGTTTGATCTCCCAAACCCATTTGATAAAATCATGAGAAGAGAGATGTCAGGTTATTATTCCAGATTCTTTGGGATTTTCTTTCCTCGTTTTTATAAAATAAAAATATGAATATTATTTCAATATACGTCTAGTAAGGACAAATCAGATGATTTGCCCCAAAATGTCACTGCGTTTAAAGAATTTTCCTAAAGCCTAAAAGAAAAATTCACCAGCTTGTCAGTGACAATTTGAATTGGAAAAGGTTTGGAGAACAGAAATAAGGGTATATAGAAAAAATATCAAATTTTCACTTAGCTTTGGACGTTTCGGGACCGAATCTGCTCCCGTTTTCAATATAAAAAATGGTTATTTGAATTGCAAATTCGTATCTCTCTTCAGTGATAATTGGTGACGTTGGCAATCAAATGAGTTACAGGATGTTTTCATCAATTAATCTTGAATTTACCATTTTTATTTTTAGATTTCAGTAGTTAATACCATGTTCTGTCTATATCAACTGAACAAGAAGCAATGCTATTGTCTCCGTTCAGAACAATGCAAGCAGATTCCTTGATTTTTCTCTTCTGGTTGTTATCTTCTTTTCCAATGATTTTAATATTATTCCACTCTGTCATATGTTGTCCGTCTTCAGTAAGGACATCGTCCATCAATATTCTAATATTGGTGGACGATGGTAAGGATATGTTCAGCTAGTTTCGATTTGTCGATGTGTCTTCTCTTCATATTGTATTTATGTTCCTTCGTCCTTACTGAAAGAGGACTCTTGGTTTCACCTGTATAAAACTTTCCACAAACACAAGGTATACTGTAAATACAATTTTTTGACGATTGTTCTTCATTTTTCGGCTTTGTTCGAGTTAGAATTGATCTCATTGTATTTTCAGTTTTGAATACAGTTTTCACTTAAAATTCTTCAGACGCAGTGACATTTTGGGGCAAATCATCTGATTTGTCCTTACTACATGTATATTGAAATAATATTCATATTTTTATTTTATAGAAACGAGGAGAGAAAATCCCAAAAAATCTGGACTAATGAATGTACGTACCACCTCCTCGATTAACCTACAGACAGTATGTCAGGTTATCTTCTTTTATTCAATTCATCTACTTAACTAATCAGAGTAGGTACTTGAAATGCCATTGACTTTGAATTACATAAATAAAAAACATTGTCTACAGCTTATTTTTTGAAGACTGCGGCAGTTTAGTTCCACCAATGTATACTATTCCTGAAGATAGATCTAGTATTATATAATGTACCTACTAGATGGCGCCAAGAGAAAGAGAGGGAGGGAGGGGGGTGAGAGAGATAGAAAGGAGGTTGAAAGCAACACATGAGACGCAACTGCCTTAGTTTGGTACACAGTCACGTGACTAGAAAATCAATCAATAAAAATTATTTCGAATCAGAACGTTGCGCCTAAAGAAAGATGCAAAGAGTCAACTGATCAAAAATAATAAACGAAAGGAGCAGGAATCAGCTTATTGTGAGAATAGGCCATACCTATCTTCATTGCACATGCAGCCATATCGATGTTTGTTCTTTACCTCATGTTGGTTTCAATGTTCTTTACGGGACGAAAAGGCAAAGGCGCATCTAGTAGATTATATATTATAATCTCCAATATTTCGAAAAAAAATCTTCAATCTGACTCCTCTCCCTATCCTCCCTATATGTACGTACGATGTTCCTCGAACATTATAGGGATTCAATTTCGTGTGCGCCAGGCGATAAAGAAACATAAAGAAATCAGATATTTGTTCCTAAGAATGCTTCCATACTTAATGGTGTAGAAGGCCTAGGCGGCAAGAAATTCCACTGGAGCAAATTTGTCCACTCCGGTATTGCTCTTGTCTCTTACTACAGATGAGCATAGATTGAAATTGATTTTCAAGAGTCTGAACTACAAAAGTATTGAAGAAGTAATGGATTTGTGATTCCATGGGTGCCTTTCAGGACGGTATGCAGAGCAATAATTCGAGATATAATCTTCCTATATAGGTATCAACATAATATAACGAATCAGTACTCATCAGGATTGAACAACAAAATGTGAAAATTCACGTCTTCCAGCAGGTTTGAAAATATCATCGAGATAGCTAATGAACTCGGTATAAAAAAAGTATTCACCTACTAGAGGTGAAGATATCGACATGAATTAGAAAAGCAGGGATTTTTTCTTATTTATTTACATTGAAGAGAGGTGGTATGATCTTTTGGTAAACCATTTGTTATCATTTCATTAAAAACAAGAAATTAAGTTGTCGAACTAGTTACTAGAGCAGCACAATTCTCTGACCGTTTACCAACAGGAGTCTGGCGGAGAAGATGATAGAGAAAAAGAAGATGGAAACGGAGAAGAGGATCAAGGTCCTTCCTCCTCGAGAGAGCAAGATATTGACTGAATGGTATATCAACTGTTGTTATGTTCCATGTTAATTTTTTTTATCTCTTGTAGCGCACTCAAGGGAATTCCTATTGTTTGGACAACATCGTGCGTATCCAGGGGGGAAGGGAGAGGAAGTAGTATTATTATTTAACTCTTGAAAGTTCTTGGGAATACTTACATTGCCAGAGAATTCCAAGGCTTTGCCGTTCTATAGATGAACGAGTTTTGGTAAATGTTGTCAATAAACTCAGTTTTCACTTAATGGTTGTGTTTTGTAAAACTATCAAAATATCTTATAGGCACTCATATATGTACAAACATGGTGATAGCAACATATTTTTTCAATAAAATGGTCAACATCTTCCATAATAATTAAATGTGCGGAACCTGATGGTCAGCGGGACTACAAGTATATACTTATTCTGAAATGAGTATATGTGCTATTTAAACGTCCAGTACTGGATATGTATACATAAGGGTGCATATTCAATACTGGGAATGCTGGAAAGCAATACAGGGTGTTATTTAAGTACGTGGCCACACTTGAAGGGGTGATTCTTTGAGTGATTCTAAGACGAAAAGTTCATATAAACATAGGTCCGGTAATGCTTCGTTTTCAAGATACAGGGTGTCAAAATTTTTAAAAGAAATCGTTTTTTTCGTAAATATCTCAATAACCCTTCAACCGATTTAATTGAAATTTGGCAGTGTTATTCAAGGTCGTGAAGGGCTAATTCAACCCTAACTATATCGAAATTATCATGTCCAGTGGCGTCCCGGAGGGCACTGTAACCAATA